ATTCATTACATATATTAAAAGAGATTCGTTAAAGATTTAGTTCCTTTGATGGCGCTGCAATTTTCAGCAAATTATTTTGATCGATAAAGTGTCCATCTATTATTGGATTGCTGAACTTTTTTCCTATTTGTAACGGTATTTTTATATCGAAATTATAAGTTGGAATACCCGTATGGCAATATTTAACAAATATATTCGTAACAAATTCGATTTATTAATTAATCGATCCTTTTTTTATAGATAATATTTAAAAATTTAAGCGATTAAAATCAATTAAAATCACTTCTTTTTATTCAATTAGTATCGAATTTTTAGATTGAGAAATATACGTATAAAATAATTATTCTTCAAGAATCCAATTTCTATTTAGTTATTTTCTATTTACTATATTTTGTACAATTTTTTTTTGAAATGTTATTATTATACAGGCATTATTTTTAATATTCGATTATATATTTAAATATTCAGTAATTTAATTTTCTTATTTTTTAACAAGAGTTCGCAAACTCATTCTTTTTATTAATTTATTATTATTATATTTATTTAAAAATAAGTTGAATAAATACAAAGAGGAAGGAAAATGAAGAGTTGATAATGATTAGAAAATTTTTATTCAACCTCATTTTTAAATAAATCAATAAGATTGACAATAATTAACAATAACAATTAACAATTAAATATTTTATAAAATTTCAATCATTAGTTAATTTCTAATTTCAATCAGAATTCTTTCCAATAGTTTTACTTACATACAGATAATATATTTCATATATTTTTTGTTTTTTATTTTAACTTAACAAATCAACGATATCTAATCGACTTATTCGAATTTTAAATCGAACATAGATGCGCTCTCTTAAATCCCCGAATAAGGATAAACAAAATTTTATTTATCGATTTTCACCATCGTTTTATACTTCAATAGAAATTGAATCGATGCAGTTGATGTTAAGTCAAACATCGAGGTCCCCGTGAAAATCTATTAGCGGCGTGTCAGGTATATAATCGGTACGTCGATAACTTGGCTAATTAGGCGCAAGTGTAAACGCGACGTGAGCGGATGTTGGCCGGAAAATGGGGCAAACCTGATATCCGGCCAGACGTCGATTTTTAATCGTTTAATCGCGCTGCCCACGTGTTACCTCTTGTCTCTGTTTCACGCTTATCTGCGGTTTCCGTCTACCGTCCACGCAATCGGCTCGTTACAGCTCGCGGCAACAATAATTCGATAAGATAGATCCCCGCGTATAATTGATCTATTAATAATTTCTCCGAGCTCTATTTGACGTATGACAAATGTCGATCTATGTTTTATCATCGAGAAGTTTGTCGGGTCTGTTTTTTTCGAAATTGTATGAATAATTTTTCGTGGAATGCAAGATCATTTTTTAAAAATGAATAAATTATTAAGTTGTTGATAATTAAATGTATAATAAAACTTTTGATATTTCTTAGAGATTATTTTTCTTGTTTCTCAAAATCGTATCGTTGTACTACGCATTTATTATATTTTTTTATAGTCTTAACTTGCTGATAGGGATCGTAAAATTCAAAAAATTATTTTGTTACTACTTTTTTAAATTTTAACTTCGTGTTTAAATCTATTTATTAGTCATAAATTAAGAAACTTAAAATCTACGCTTCTTCAATTATTACTTTTGCCTAATTTATTCGAAAAATAAAATTCTTGTATAAATTGTCAAAATTCCTTTAAGCATTACCAAATATCAGAAACCCATTTTATCAAACAAACATCTTCTCAAAAAACAAAATTAATCGCTACGAAATAAATATTTTCTATAAAAATCAAAAAAAAAAAAAAAAAAA